CAGTCACTGTATTCATCCGTGCGGTTATTCAGAGCCCCTTAGTATTTACTGTGCTAAGTGCTAGGGCTGCAGACGTGAGTGTGAGTGAGGTCAGCTGCTTTCAGGGGGCTGCAGCCTAGTAGGTGGACAGCCAGTCATCACGCCAATGTGTGTAAAGTCACACCTGTGCTAATAAGCACTGTAAAGGAAAGGCAAATCACACTAGGAGAGCAGGTGACAAGGTAAACCCACTGCAGAGGAAGAGGAAGAATAAAAAGGGATTACCAGTCCTAGAGGGACAAGAGTGTCCCAGGCATGCGGGACCAGGTGCTGAAGGGCAGGGAGGAAGCTGCCTCTTCTGAAGTTCTCAGCAGACCACAGTTAGTGGCCGCAGAGCACAGCAGAAACCACACCAGGCTGAGGTTCTTCTAGCCACGGTTCTAGGTCATTTTCATCTTAGCCCTGAGGCTGGCATTGGTTCATTTACTCTGAGGGCTGAGTACCACAGATTTTTCCAGAAAGCAGAGCAATTATTCAAATAATGCATACAGTAATTTGCCTGTTTCTGCTTACATTTTCTGCATATTTGAGTCAGATCTGTCTTTGCTTGACTGGAGGCTGCTATTTGGCAATAAGTAGTAAGCATGGCTGTGGGTGGATCCAGAGTTGGACTTCTTATCAGTGTAAGCTGTAAGGACAGGGAGTTCAGGGGCCCCCAAAAAGCGGGTGCCCGAGGATATCTCCCAGCACATTGCCAGGACTGACCCTCTGGGTCTAAGGGTAGTGATGAGACCTGAAGCCCAAGCCCACGGCTTCTGCGTCTCTCTAAAGGCCAGACAGGGCATTCCCAAATAGGTTCCCTTTTCTTCCTGTAAAGTGTAGGCATATTTGCATAGTAAAATTGTTTCCTCTCTTTACCTGCTTGCAAAGCTTCTGTTCACAGACATGAGAAAAGTGAAGCATTCAGGAGAATTGCCCATGTAGAGATATCTCAAAATAGGCTCCTGGGGGATCCGAATGTATCGCATATCTGGCCAGATAAGTTTGAGAAGTGTAGGGCCACCTCCCTTAATGTAGAATTTCTTGCTCCTGCACTTGGGCCCCTGCATGGAGTGAACAGAGGAAAAGCTGCGTCTAGGACTGTGTGTAACCACAGGCACCCCCATACACAGTAAATTTAGAGATGCCGTAGGACCGAGGTACCCTGCAATACAAATTTGAGAAATGCTTGTCTAGGCTTTCCAGGAGATTCTAGAACAAAACTGTTTACAGCTTTTCTCAGATGAAGGTACTGTGGACAGCAAGGTCATCACCATGGCCCAAGGTCACACAGCTAAAGGAAAATCAAGGACCAAGGACACAAGAAAGCAGGTAGCTGACATTCATTCCAGGTCTCCAAGGCTCCCTATCCCGGTGGTTTCTGTCATAAATCACAAAAGGCAAGATTCCAGGGAGTGCGCACTTTGCAACAGGGATAACTCTCTAGGGTTTATAGGTATCACTCAGTGGTAGAGCTCTTTCCTAGCATGTTTGAGGCCCTGAGTTTGACCCAAGCACTACACTAAAAAAATAAAATAAAATAAAAAGCTATAACTCTAGAAAGTATTTGTTAAGCTGTAGGACCTAGTGTGTGCCAAGCCCCTGCTAGGCACTTTGGACACATACAACCTGACACACTCATGGCATGCAGGGGTCGGTATCTCACTCCATTTTTATAGGTAAAGGAAAGGAGCTCAGCACTCTTCAGTTGCTTGATCAGTCTCTTTCAGTAAGCAAATCGCAAAGCCAAGTTTTGGATGAAAATTCATCAAGCTTCCCTTGCACAATGCAGTACATTGTCTCATTTGTCCTTTCATTAGCTCTCAGAGATAAAAATAAAATCTCAGTGAGGTTAAGCTTGACAAGGAGTGGGACAGGGAGGTGGGTGTGGTTCTGCGTGGCCACATCTCAAGCCTACGTCCAGATAAGCTCTTCAATGGTGCTAGCCTGACTTCTTTTTTCCCTGATTAGACAGGCACCCACCATCCATGAGCCCAGGGAGTTGTGAGCCTCCAGGGCCTTGGACTCAGAGCTCAGGCTCTTCCTGGCCCCATTTATACCACGCTCGGCTCTACTTTTCATCACTTTAGAAGAAACAGCCAAAGAGATAGATGGCTGTGCCCCACTGAGAAGTCAGAATATCTCACTGCCTCCACTGGACCCATGCTGAGAGGAGGGTGGCTTGTCTAATTATGTAGAGCCTTCATGCACAGATGAGCTAACCATGAGAAGGGTCTGCTCTGGGCCTGGTATCTGGCCCCTCTCTCCTTCCACGGTTAAGAAGACCAGCATGGAAAGCAGACACATTCCCCTGGAAGCTCACTCTCTGGCTTCCCCTTTCCGCTCTTGAAGAGTTAGTTACTTGATTCTCTGTATTTCTGTATTTTATGCAAAGGACTGTCAAGCTCTCAGTGAAAGAGGACAGCCTGCACTGTCCTGCCAGGCTATTTTAGGGAGCTTCAGTTGCGGTTTCTCTTCAGGTCATCAGCTGTCAGACAGCTGTGTCCGCCTTCTGGTCTCTCCTGCTAATTAAAGTCCAGCAGAGCCAAGGGACTTGGCCCCAGAGAAAGGAGAAGAGAAGACACTGAGAAGCTGGGGAAATGTGTCAAAACATGGGAGCCTCTGATCACCATCGCGGGAGTGCACTGTCAGACCAAGACCACACACCACATCCTGAGGGATGGTGTCCCTTCTGGTGCCCTCTCATCTGAACTTTTGTCGCCCCGTGGTGGCCCATGTTAGAAATGCAGCCAATACGCATTCACTTTATATTCATTTAAAATAAAATTTCTACCCTCCCTTTGCCCCTCCTAAGGGCAGGGATAAGGGAAAAAATGAGAAACAAGACCTGTCGTGTCGTGTAAAGGTACAAGATCCCAGTAATGAATGTAACTGTACTGTATACCTAAAATGTACCCCTAAACTCAAAAGTAATATTTTTAAAAAGAACAAGATTTCTAAGTGGTTATATGGGCATTGTGCAAAACGTTTTTTTAAAAGTCTCAGTTAAAAACAGCCTAGTCGGTCAAAGTCTACAGGTTCTTTTCTGCAGAGCTTCTGAGAGATTTTATGCACTCGGGCCCCATGTTTCCCTAGCTGCTCTGAGCCCTGCAGGAACTTTTTGTCTGGAATACCTGGTGCCCTTGTTCACGGGACTCTTACAGGTTTTGTAAAATGAACCAAAGAAGATTAATCATGATGGTCCCGAAGTACAGCCACAAATCCTCTAGTGTTATTGTTTGCATCACATTAGAAATAACCTATTTTCTCTACAATTTTATAGCATAGATGAGAAGCACAGTTTTAAATTCTGAATAAAAAATGGCTTTTAGAGGAAAGACTTAAATTCATATACTGTATTTCTTAAGCAACTTTCTCTTATGAATTAATGCGTACTAAAATGAATAATGCTCATCCTATTTGAATGTCACTATTAAATTGTTTGTGAGTTAAATAAATCATATTTTCCTGGAAAAAGCAGGGTCAGTTACAGTTTGAAGGGTAATGCTAGGCTTGCCTGGAAATAAAGCAGAAACTTCAATTGGCAGAACAGGAATGGGTATGTATGGCCTGCCACCTGTTGTAAATAAAATTTTATTAGAACACAGCAGTGCTCGTTTGTTTAAATAGTGCCTGTATCTGTTTTCACTCTACGATAGATAGGGAGTCACTGCACCAGAGGAATTATGGTACCCAAGGCCTAAAGTTCTACTTGTATGGCCTTTTCCGGAGATCTTGCTAACCTCTTCCATGGATTCATAGGAAGCATAAAGGTTATATAACCAAACCCTTCATCATGTCAATGAAAAAACTGAAAGCAGAGGCACTAGGAAATTGCCCAGGTTTATTTATGGTTGGGAGTTCTGGGCTTCATATCCAAATAGTCCTCATCAACACAGAGGTCAGGGATAGATTTGATCTCAGCATCTGCGCCAGTTGATTGGAAGTGGCCATCTGGCAGGTTGCTTGCGCCGGTCTCGCTGAGAAGGAATGCCATGACTCACGAGTCTCCCACGGGCCCCGTGGGTAGCACCTGTTCATGGGCCAGGTGTGAGCTCTGTGTTGACACTCGTCCGCTCCTCGTGTGTCACGGTTCTGCCGCTGCCTCTCTCCTTATACATGGTGTGATCAAATACACACTGAATGTTTAAATTTTAAAATGCAGTAAAATTACAGTAAAAGACACATTGCCATTAGTTCCCTTCACCCCCCCATTTTGAACACATGCGTCCCATCATTCCCGCCTCGTTCTGAAGCATTACTGGAAGTCTCTTTTCATGAGTGTCTCTACTTGTGCTGTTGTGGCCGCCTCCGTGCCTGATCAGTTCAGAACATTTACCTTTCGTGGTAGTTTTGATTTTAGGGGAGAACTAGAAGTCTCAGGGTGTCAGATCCAGTGAGTAAGGTGGATGAAGACACAAGTCTGCCTTTCTGTTGGATGGCACTCCTCAGCGGCAGCAGCATTCACTGTATTTTTTTAATCACACCTGGCAAAGACACTCGGGAAAGAGGTCTTCCAGAACTGCTTCAGAAAGTGGCCGGAGCAATGGGAGAAGTGTGTTCGAAGCCAGGGGGAGGATTTTGAGAGCGATTAGTGGCAGTGCGGTAAATATTTTGACTTTATAACTTGCTGTATATGTGGACCACATCTGGTTTGCCTGCTGTATACGCCCTTTATTCATCAGCCCAAGCAGAAGTGCTGTGCTGGCCCTCATTGGGACTCTGCTGCAGAGCTGCTCAGAAGTGATAGGCAATCCCTGCGTAAGGTCCTGCAAATGTCTCGCTTTGTATCATGTTCTGCTCAGAAGAGTTTTAACTTGGGATTTTACTCCAACTGGATATGTCAGTTACAGGAGGCTTCTTTTACTGTAAATATGTCCATGGGTCTCAAGGTAGGGGTACAAAGTAAAAAGTCATGTGTTTATTGGCATTGTGACCCAAACTGAAAGTCTTTCTGTTTGCATGTTTGTGCTTTTGTGCAGCTGGACAACCCAGACGAGCAGGCGGCCCAGATCAGACGGGAGCTGGATGGACGTCTCCAGATGGCAGACCAAATAGCCAGGGTAAGGACGTGCGGGGAGATGTTTGCTGGGGACTGGGCCATCGTCCAACTCAGAAAGCACACTGACTAGTAGACCCCTTGAAAGTCAGAGCACAGAAGCAGGGAGGAGGAAGGGGAGGGCATCGTCCTGACTGGGCAGCAGCCCTCCTTGCTCAGACTGCCCCGTAGGTGCCACCCGCATTTACTCCCCAAGCTCCAGCCAATACCCACACACAGGCTGCTACCCTGGTGCTCCTACTTCCCACCGCCTACTGAACCTCTGCATTTGGACAGCTCCCTGGCATTTCAAGTTGAATGTGTTCAAAATCTGGGTCCTTGTCATCTGCCCACCACACGTACTACCTACACCCCTGGGCTCACTGCTGCTCATGTGTCTGTGTGCGGTTACTGCAGATGGGGCCTCTGGGCATTGTCCGCTTCTGCTTCCTCCTCCCAGCACTCCGGCTCCACTGAGTCCGCCACCTCCCTGTGGGTGGGCAATCTCTTGGCTGCTTTCCGGCTTCCTTACCTGGGAATCGAGTGGCTCCCACTTGGCATCCCTGGCCCGTCCTCCCTGTCACCCTCCATCCTGCGGACAAACATCTGAGAAGAGAGACCTCGGGATCCTCAAACGTGTTGCACCCTGCCCGCTTTAGATTGACTCCTCCTTCCCACCGTATCCCCAGTCCAGCTGCAGGGATGCCTGAAGACACAGGCCCTTTCCAGGGTCGGTACCTTCTCCCCTCCTGTAAGCGAGCTCACTTACTCAGCCTCAGGTACCTGGCTGAGAGAACCTTCTCCAACAGCCTAGAGGTTTGTCCTCCTCACCTGGCTGCTCACATGGTACTGCGTGTAGGCCTTCCTTGTAGCAGACTTTATCACTGAGTGGAGATCAGTGGTTTACCACTGTGAGTCTCCTGGGGCTTTGGATTCTTCCTTACTGTGGATGATTAAAACAAGTGTTGTCTACTGTTTGCTGTCACTGCCATTTATGTTGTTGTTATTACCACTCTCAGTACTGCTAGTATTCACTGTGACCTGATTCTGCGTCGGGCATGATGAATGCTTTAAATGTGTCATCTGTATCAGTTCTCAAAACAGCACCCCCAAAGCCATGTTTGCTATCATTCTTGTTTTCGAGATGGGGAAGTGCCAGTTCGGCATGACAGACAGTAATAAAGAGGCAGATTGGACCCTCAGCTCAGGTGTGTCTGAATAACAGAGCCAGCGCTAGTCAGGCTGTCTGAACGCAGAGATGCGCTCCTGTATGAAGAATCTAAAAGGACCCAGAAACTTAGTCACCAAAATAAATAAGACTTTAGTAAATACTCTTATATCATAATTAGTGCCCAAACTCCAGGATAAATAAAATGTCAAACTTTTAAACACCTACCAGCTCCTCGGGGTCCCCCTGTAGCCAAGTCTGAGGGCAGAGGCTGCGAGATGCCAAGAATGCTGGCGGGAGAGAGCTTGGCAGTGACGTGTAGAGGAGTCCCCAGATCTGGATATATAGAAGAAGGTTTTCCTAACTGGTGGAAAACCAAAGAGAGATTCCCAGAGGAAGGGAAATCCCTCTATCTCTGTGGAGGCGTTTTTGCTGAAATGTTTTGCATCTTGTTCTTGGACACCTTTGAAGTTTACAGTGAAGTCAGTCTAGTGGCTAAAAATAGTGCAGAGTTGCAGGAACCACCCTAGGAGTTTGTCCCAACCCAGGACTAACAGGGATGAAAGACAAAACACAGAAATAATTCAGAAGAGGACCGGGGGATTCCCGCCTGTGGTGGACAGAAGAGCCCCACACTAGTGGCTCTCCTCACTTTTATTAGGCTCGCTCAAAGAAGCAAGGGACAGGGGAAAGTTCACTGGGTTCTCGTATTTACGGACTGCGCCTGAACGTGTATTTTCTTTACTCAGACTTCAGCTGCAGTTGATTCTCTCCTGAGACCGGCTGGCACCAGCATGTTAGCACACAGCCCAGGGGATGATGGCCCCTGTCTCCTCCCCGCCTCAAGGAGAGTTCAGCCCAGTCATTAACCTTCCACCTGGTTCCCCACACACGTTATAGACTTGGCTCAAGGTAGAGTAGGTTCTTGTGTTTTAAATGGGCATAAATATCAGCAGGGCTTTAGAATTTAATTCCTCTGTAAATGCAGCATTTTCTGTTAGTGGATTGTCTAGAAAATGTAGGTCATTTGGTCCATTCTCTTGTATTTTAAGCAACTATTCCATCCCCGACTAATAAGTATTCATGCCTAGTAAATAAAATTACACACAGTTTAAAAACAAGTTCAAGACAGGTTTAATTATTTTGTTTACTTTGAGGCTTAACATGATAACTTCTGAAACTAATATTAGGCTAGTTTTCATTTTTAGAAAATCATAAATGAATACTTGGTATAAAATGAGCCAAAATGTTTGCTTCTGAAAAGATCCAAGACCTCTCTCCCCTCACCTTTATCCTAAATATTCTACTGCTAAGCAGATGTTGTTGATAACTTGGAATTTGGAATAATATAATGAGCAACTACAATGAATCTTGTTTTTTATTTAGCTTATGGCAAATACTTTCAAAATGCATGGAGGATCCCCAAACATTTTAGGTTTGGGCAATTTCTATGAGGTAGTCTTCCTGCAGCAATCTCCTACTTTTCTAGGAAAAAAAAAATTTTTTTTTCTGGTACTGAGGCTTGAACCAAGGGCCTTTCCTCTGAGCCTACATCCCTACCCATTTTTTAATTTCTATTTTGAGACAGTCTAAGTCCATAAATAACCCAGGTTGGACTTGAATTTATGATCCTCCTGCTTCCACCTCCCAGGTTTGCCACCACAGCCAGTATTTCTTTAAGAAATTGACTCTCTTCTGCAATGTCCTTTCATGCCATTGGCCCCTTTGCCCACAGCACCTTGTTCTTGGAGTTAGTTCTTCACCCATGGAGAGCCTATCACAGTTCCCAGACTGGCCTGGCATGAGCAGATGGCTTCTAAATGAACGGTTGCTGCAGGATAGACTGAGGAATGCCTTCGCAGGCCCATGGGCTGTGGCCTGACAGACTGTGCTCCAGGACTAGAAAGGGGCCTGCCGCTGTGCTGGGGATGAAGCTGTCCTGGAGGAGAGACAGAGACAGGGAGCCCACCAGGACGCCAAGGAGTCCTTGGATGCTTACACACCTCTTCCCAGTTAGTCTTTGATTTTAGCTGTGCAACTGCTTTGCCCACGGTTTGGTTGGATTCTAAGAAGAATAAAATCCCTTTCATCTAACCTAGTCAGGCTAATAGTGAGGAAAACTGAAAAATATCTCATCTACTAAAAATTAATTAAAATGTCAAGATCTCATATATTAGCAAGCTGATGGAGAGATATTGATGCAAGGCACCATGGCTTCTCTTCTTGTAGTATGCCCTGGTTTTCTATTTGCAGCATGACAGTGAATTTTAGTGAGGATGTGCAGTTCAACGCTTGTGCTGAACATCAGCTCCCATACATACAAAACCAACAATTTCTAGATACAGATGTCACCCATCGTGTATAATCACTCTCTTCTCTGACTTGAAAGATGGGTGAAGCACTTGAGTTTGCAAGTGAGAGGCACCAACTCAAAGTAGCTTGTGGTGGATGGGGGGATAATTTTAGGGATCTTGCAATGTGTAGCCAAGTCCGAGAAAGGACAGGAACCAGGGGCCAGAAAGGGGTCAGTGTTTTCTGTCCATCTCCCTTCTGTGTCCTGTGTGACCTCTCTTGCTCTGCAGACCAGCCTCCTTTGCTGCTCAGGTGGAAGCGTTCCTGTGCCATGGCTCTGCATGTTTCTGGCCTGTACAGATAGGAACCAGTTGGCCCCTTTCTGAAATCTTTCTTCTTCTTTCCCTTTTCCTCTTTATCCCTACCTCCTGCAAGCTCATAATTTCAAAAACTGGACCTAACTTGGTTCAAGGACCAACCCTGGTACAATCTACCAATGCACTGTGGAGAAAGCGTGAGGGTCTCACTGGGCACATGGATTCTGGAGGTGTCCAAGTGGTACCTAAGGAGTAGGGCTGTAGGTGGGCACCAGTACAAATTCAGGGATACCCCAGATGTCCCTGACACTATTAACTATCATGTGCATTGCATTCATTATGTCAGTGACCACCTCACTCTGTCCATGTTGACTGGGAAACCCTGGAGTGACCATTGCTGTGGAGGACTCAGCTGTCCCCAGCCCTCTGCTGAGTTGAAGTGATGTGCTCAGTTGCATTCCATTAAGAAGCAGAAAGCTGATTCTCCAGTTCAGTTTCAGGCTTTTTTTTTTTTTTTTTTTTTTTGAGTAATCAGATGAGAGACAAGAAATTACTCCAAGACAGGGCTGTTTGCCAGTCCTCTCACTGATGATTGACTCTCCAGGAAACAGCTTTCCCTTTTTCCACTAAAATCTGCTATATACTCCCTTTAGTTTATTTAGAAGCCCAAATAAGATAGCAGTATTAAGTGAAACTGACTTCCAGAATTCAGAAAGCTCTTAACTTTGATTTTTTTTTGGAATCTGGACAAGGGATTGTAAAGACCCCTGGGGTTTTGCCTAGAGCATCTAAGCATCATGCATTTCTATTGAAAGGCATATGTTTGTCCTCTCTCTTAGGAGATAGGGAGGCAGGAACAAGTCTACTGTCCCTTACCCATAACCCTACACTATAACCTATCCATTCATACCAGCAGCCTACAAATCTACAAACTGTCAGCCAGAGGCAGCTGCAAGAGAACATCAGACAGAGATGACCTCACCGTGAACATCAGTCACGGAGCCTTAAAAGTTGCAGGAAGAGATCTGAATGCATATTTTTTAAATATGGTAGAAAGTACTTCTTGATCCCTGTTGAAACATTTTCCCAAATCCTCTTATGTTGACCTTAAAGTGTCCCGAAATTTCACCCAGGAATTAAATCTAAGTTATTTAAGTTGTGTGATCAGATGTTGACACTGCAGCTTAAATAGGCAGACTGTGGCATTAGTGCTGCTGTGATGTTTGCCAGTTCTTTTGGCCACGTTTT